TTTGCTTCAGCTCTTTGAAAAATACCGGTGGAATTTTGATCGGAATGGCATTAAAAGTATAGATTGCTCTAGGCAGTGTAGACATTTTAACAATGTTTATTCTTCCGATCCAAGAGCATGGAATGGTCTTCCATCTTTTTGTGTCTTCTTCAATTTCTTTCATGAGTGTTCTGTAGTTCCTCGAGTACAGATCCTTTACCTCTTTGGTTAGGTTTATTCCCAGGTATCTTATGGTTCTTGGTGCTATAGTAAATGGAATCGATTCTCTAATTTCCCTTTCTGTATTTTCATTGTTAGTGTATAAGAAAGCCACTGATTTCTGTACACTGGCTTTGTATCCTGCCACGTTACTGAATTGCTGTATGAGTTCTAGTAGTTTGGGAGTGGAGTCTTTTGGGTTTTCCATATAAAGAATCATGTCATCTGCAAAGAGAGAGAGTTTGACTTATTCATTGCCAATTTGGATACCTTTTATTTCTCTTTGTTGTCTGATTGCTGTTGCTAGGACTTCTAATACTATGTTGAACAAGAGTGGTGAGAGTGGGCATCCTTGTCGTGTTCCTGATCTCAACGGGAAGGCTGCAAGCTTTTTCCCATTGAGGATGATATTTGCTGTGGGTCTTTCATAGATAGATTTTATGAAGTTCAGGAATGTTCCCTCTACCCCTATACTTTGAAGCATTTTAATCAGGAACGGATGCTGGATTTTGTCAAATGCTTTTTCTGCATCAATTGAGAGGACCATGTGGTTCTTCTCTCTTCTCATATTAATTTGTTCTATCACATTGATTGATGTGCGAATGTTGAACCATCCTTGTAGCCCAGGGATGAATCCCACCTGGTCATGGTGGATAATCTTTTTAATGTGCTGTTGGATCCTGTTTGCTAGGATCTTGTTGAGAATCTTAGCATCCATATTCTTCAGTGATATTGGTCTGAAATTCTCCTTTTTGGTACCAAAAGACTGAGATTATTCCCTGCATATTCTCAGATCACAATGCTTTGAAACTGGAGCTCAATCACAAGGAAAAGTTCAGAAGGAAGTCAAACACCTGGAAGCTAAAGACCACCTTGCTTAAGAATGCTTGGATCAACCAGGAGATCAAAGAAGAACTGAAACAATTCATGGAAACCAATGAGAATGAAGACACTTTGGTCCAAAACCTATGGGATATAGCAAAGGCGGTCCTAAGGGGGAAATACATAGCCATCCAAGCCTCCCTCAAAAAAATTGAAAAATCCAGAACACACCAGCTGTCTCTACACCTTAAAGAACTGGAGAATCAACAACAAATCAAACCAACTCCACACATAAGAAGGGAAATAATCAAGATCAGAGCTGAGATCAATGATGTAGAAACCAGAGATACAGTAGAACTTATCAATGAAACTAGAAGCTGGTTTTTTGAAAGAATCAATAATACCGATAAACCATTGGCCACACTAATCCAAAAGAAAAGAGAGAAAGCCCAAATTAATAAAATTATGAATGAAAAGGGAGAGATCACAACTAACACCAAGGAAGTAGAAACAATCATCAGAAGTTATTATCAACAGTTATAGGCCAATAAGCTAAGCAACCTAGATGAAATGGATGCATTCCTGGAAAACTATAAACTCCCAAAATTGAACCAGGAAGAAATTCACAATCTGAATAGACCGATATCTAGTAATGAGATTGAAGCAGTGATCAAAAAGCTCCCAAAAAACAAGAGCCCAGGACCTGATGGATTCCCTGGGGAATTCTACCAAACTTTCGAAGAAGAAATAACACCTATTCTCCTGAAGCTGTTTCAAAAAATTGAAGCAGAAGGAAAACTTCCAGACTCTTTTTTTTTAAACGATTTGAATGTTAGTTGCTGATATGTCACTTACATCTGTAAATACTTCGGCTTGTGTTTTCCAAGTATGAGGACAATCCCCCACGTGACCGCAATACAATGCTCAAAGCTAGAAAATTTAACCATCGCAAAAGGCTATTTATCTAATGTGCAGTTTAGATTTCCATGTCCCCGAGTGTTCTAGTAAATGTTCTTTATAGTCACTTGTTTTCTGATCCAGAATCCTGTGTTAGATCTTCCATTGTACTTGGTTGTCTTCTTTTAGCCTAGAAGTTTAAGTAGGCTTGTTTTGTTTTCTCATGGCATTGACATTTTTGAAGAGTCGAGGTCAGGTTCTGCTTTACCCTCCCCGCTTCAGTGTCCTTCAATTTGTATCTGACTATTTCCTTATAATTAGACTTAGGTTAAATTCTTTGGCAGGAATACTACAATAGATGATGTTCTGATGCCATTTTTTTTTTTTTTAATACGGAATGCTCCATGAATTTGTGTGTCATCCTTGGGTAGGGGGTCATGCTAAATCTTCTCCGTATCATTCCAGTTTTAATATCTATGCTGCCAAAGTAAGCACCCAATGCCATGTTTTATAATTTTTTTTTCCTACCCTTCTCTTTTACATATGTGAAACTAGGAGTGATTTTTAAAAATTCTAATATTTTTATTTTCAAATATCCAGCAGGTCAGTTACTGGTCAGTGACTCTGGTCATCACGTCACCACTGAAGCAGTGGGCTATTTGTACAGATCGCTTGATTTAAGGGCGACCTACCTGGGATCTTCTCATTCATCAATCCATGGAATCCTGCAGTGAGTTTCTGTTCTGTGTCTCAACGAAAAAGTTGCTTCTGCCCATTCACCTTAGATATGTGACCTCTTGACAATTTCTTTTTTAATCTTTTGCAGGCTGCTGAGGGAAATTGAATGGATCAGAAGTAGGAGATGTTGGTCTCAAGGCGTGAACCGGCAGTATTCTGAGGGTTCCAGGAATGGCACCTCATTATGGGACCACTTACTTAAATTAAACTACCACAGTGCTCAAAGTTCAAATACAGTGAGCTCTGCAATATGCATGAACACAGATAAGCTACAGAGAGCTAAAAGCATGGACTTGGCAGCTCATACAATTTCAGATAAATCAAAATGTGCTTCCAGAAAAGGGAAAAAGGTCTTGAGACCCGTTATTTCTGTTTCTATTGAGAAGACCCCACAGAAGACACAAAATAATCTTGAGCTATGGAATGGCCCAGAGAAAGAAGCTTCACTGAAAAAGCAAGATTATTCCTCTAGGATCTTATCTTTGGGTAAAATGGATGGTGTCGTTAAGTTTTCACGGCAAAGGATTTTGTCAGCTAAAGGCAAGAGTGAAAAAGGCCAAATCACCACAATTTACAGGCATCCCATGGTAGTAGGGTCTTTTAATACAAATAATCCCTGGGAATCCGTATCTGAGTTCATATCAGAAAAGTGGTTTTTTCATAGCCCAGACTACAGTTCAGTTTCCCAGAAGAGTTGTTTGGAGAGAAGACCTCAGTTTGAAACCAAATTGTTGAAGACCTCACATGATACTAATAAAGTATAAAAATTATCATGGGCTTTTTGTGTCTGTAATTTCTTTTTAGTTGTCTTTGTTTGGAACTCTTTGATGAGATATTTTCTCTTATAACTCTTAGAGGTGATGATAATCAAAGTCTAGGGTTTTGATTTTTTTTTTTAGCTCTTTAAAATGTTGTAATAGATCTTAGCTAAAAAGAACAATTTTGATGTGATTCACATTTGTATGGTAGGTAGAAGAATGTTGCTCTCACAGGGTTCCGTGTCTAAAAATATGCTAAAGCAGTACTGTTAAAGTTCTAATTATGTTACAATTATGTTGCTATAGTTTATTTTGGATTTATGAATTGATTTTCCATGTAAAAATTTATAATTGCTAGCACCAACGCTTTTTTTAAAATGAAACATGAATAAGAAAAGGTAAATTGGAATAAACCAAAACTGTAAAGTAAGTTTAGTGTCCCAGAGCCCATGGGTTTGATATCTGTTTTAAATGTAACAATTGCCTCTCACCAGTGATTTTTTACCCATTAACTGTTAAGGTTTACTTATTGGTTACCTCATCACCCAACTAAATCCTACATACTATGTTAGGAAGCCAAACGGGAGAATGGACTCAGCTGTATGGCTTCAGGATAATTAGTTCACTTCTCTTAGCCTCAGTTTCATTAGTTATAAAATGGCAGAAATCCCAGCGCCTGCTTTTCAGGATTGCCGAGAGGATTGCATTGGATAATGCACACAGCGAGCTTTTAATGAACAGTAGTTGTTCTCTGTAACGGTCTAACTCAGAGGCCACCTTGTTCCGGGAAGCATCCTCCCACCCCTCCAGCCCACAATTTAAACATACGTGAACGCTTGGGTTGTTTTAAATCGTGTCCTATTTCACACACGGCAGGCAGTGTGGTCTCCCAGGCCGTGTGCCAGCCTGGAGAGTTTTCCCTGCCCTCCACTGGACACCCTGCTCATCGGTAACCACAGTAACCAAGAGCTTGGGAAGTCCTCTACGTTCAATGATTCTCAGCCGGGTTCTGGGTGGGCAGCATCGGTCTTGCCTGCAGCAGCCAAGTCGGCTTCAGCCACACAGAAATGTCGCATGCAGGGGTTACTGTTTGTTTTTGGCGGAACCACAATGCACAGGACAGGTGCAGCCTCGCAGATCTGGAGGAAGACAGGTGCATCGCCCCTGTGAGCATGAGCAGGAGCCGGAGGAGCAGGGTGGCGGTGTCCTGAGGGCCTCCCTCTCGAGCCAGGAATCCCTGGAGGGGCACTCTCCTTTTAAGCTCTGCAGTGGACGGGGGCGGGGGAAGAAGATGACCTTCAAACACATCAGCCCACATATGGGACCTGGCCCAGTTGGTCCCTTACGGGAGGCACTGGAAAGATCTAAGCCCGGGGATCCAGGGTCTTCCCAGACCCGCCCGCGCCCCCGTCCTTCGCCGGGCAGAGCCCCGCCCCGACGCTTGCCAGGTAGGACTGGGCCCCGCCCCAGTCCCCGCCCCCGCCCCGCCCCCCGCCGGACAGGCCCCGCCCCCGCCCCGCCCCCGCGGTGGCTCCGCCTCCGAGGCGGCCAAAAGGGAGGGCCGCGCCGCCGCCACGTGCTCCGACGCAGGGAGCTGCCCGCCAGCGGGCTGAGCGCGGGCGGAGCCCTGGCGTCCTGCTCCGGGTGCCACTCGCAGCAGGGCGGCGGCAAGCATGGCCACGGCGGCGGCCGTGGCGGTAGCCCGTGGGGCCGGGGCGAGGGCGGCGGCGGCCCTGCGGGGCGGCTGCGGGAGTGCGGCCCGGGGGCGGCCGCGCGCGGGCCCCGCACGGCCCTTGTGCACAGCACCTGGGACGGCCCCGGACATGAAAGGCTACTTGTGGGAGCGCTACCGGGAGGCGAAGAGGAGCACGGACGGTGAGTGCGGCGACGCCCGCAGAACCTCCGGTCCCTGGGAGCCCGTCGCAGGCGGTCGGCGGGGAAGCGGGCAGCCTCCGACCCGCGCCGGCCCCGCTGCTGACCTCTCGGGTACTCTAATCGTGACCCTCCGTCGCCCTCAGTTCCAGCTGCGGCGAAACCTCTGCAGTGCGATTCCGGGAAACGCGGAAAAATGCGCCTCCAGAAACTTTATAAATTTGCTTTCTCCTGTCGGGAAAGCAGTTTTATAAATTCTTGCGATTTTTAACCAGAAATTAGCATCGGAAGTGCTTTGGTCTCCACGGGCATCGCTTGGGAGACAGCGGCCCCCACGCACACCGTTAGGTATTGTTAGTAACCGGCAGTAATAATAGAAACAGCCGGAGTCCGGCAGGCGGCGAGTTCCTCCGGAGCTGAGCTGCCAGGCAGGTGGCAGTGGCTGGAGTTGATTTTCCTTTTTTTTTGTTCTGTTTCTTGTGTGTGGTTTCGTTTTGTTTAGTTTTCTGCTGTGTTTGAAGTAGGAGAGGTCCCAAGTTGACAGTGTTCTGAGTTGTCTACTAACTTAATTGAGGAGGGAGTTCCAGGGAGTGACTCCTTAGTGCCCGGTGAACATAAAATAAACTTGGTTCTGTGGTTAGTAAGGGAGATGGGCAGAGGCAGAAAAAGGCCTAGATAAATAATAGGGCCAGGCCCACCGACTGTCTGCTTGAATTCTAATACCTACGAGGGAATATTTGTGCCACATCCCCATCCTGTAGATGGGAAAAGCAAGACTCAAGTTTAAGGAACCTGGCCAAGGTCACACCTTGACCTGGGGTCTGTCTCCGCCCCTAACCCTCTGTTCTGTTTCCTGTGCTGCCCTACCTTCCTCTAGCAGCTGGCTGTTGGGGAGCTGGTGTAAAGGGCCAGTGATAAGTCATTGGTGCTGCTTCTTTCAAGGAAGATTTAGAATCGAAATATTTGTACTGTTGCTGGGAGTGAGGTGGGGTGGAGATAGCAAGTGGAGATAAGGGGACTATTTGGTGGGAGAGAACGTTTGGTAGGATCACATTTTCAGTCTTCTGGCCAGAAGTCAGTTTAATGAAAGAAAGCAAGGGGGTTCTTTTCACCAACTGGGATACTTTTCTGAGGGAACTCAAAAGAGGCTAGCAATGCAGACTTCTGTGAAATAGGGCTTTTTGGTTTTCCTTTGCTCAGAGTTAAAATGTGTACCGTTTTTTGAAGTAGTTGTGTGGTACGGTGGAAAGAAGAGTGGCTTTGCAGATGCTGGAAATGGCAGATCTTAGATGAAAGAAATATAGAACATCTACCTCAGCTTTTAAGACTTGAAAGACTTAAAATTAAAAAAAAATTATTTATTTATTTATTTGAGAGAGAGGGCTCATGGGCATGGAAGGGGGTAAAGGCAGAGGCAGAGGGAAAATCAGGCTCCTGACTGAGGAGGGAGCCAGATGTGGGGCTCAATCCCGGGTGTCTGCAATCATGACCTGAGTGGAAGGCAGATTCTTAACTGACTGAGCCACCCAGATGTCCCACAAGACATTTTTTTTTCAAATTTTTTTTAATGATTTTATTTATTTATTTGAGAGAGAGAGAGTTAGAGAGCATGAGAGGAGAGAGAGATCAGCTGGAGAAGCAGACTGCCCGCCGAGCAGGGAGTCCGATGTGGGACTCGATCCCAGGACTCCAGGATCATGACCTGAGCCGAAGGCATTTGCTTAACCAACTGAGCCACCCAGGCGCTCCCCACAAGACATTTTTAATTGAAATTTTTAATTGTGATAATTGTATATTTACATGCAGTTGTAAAAAGTAATACAGGGAGATCTGGGATACCCTTTACCCAGTTTCTCCCAGTGGTAACATTTTGCCAAACAATGATGTATTATCTCAAGCAGTATATTGATACTGACCCATTTCACAGATCTTAGAGTCCTCTGCTTCTTCTTTACTTGTGTTTGCTTATTTAGTTCTATACAGTTTTATCACACGTACGTTCAAGCATCCAGCTCTACGGGCAAGATACAGAATAGATCTTTACAAGGATCTCTCACATTAGCTTTAGAGCCATACCCCCGATGCTTTGTGTAGTCTCTGGGGAATTATCTGTTCTCCATTTCAGAAGTGTTCTGTAGAAGGAATCATGGAGTATGTGACCTTTTGGAATTGGCTTTTGAGACTGAGCATAATTCTCTGAAGAACTGTCCAGGTGGTTATGTGTATTGTATCCATAGTGTGTTTTTTAATTGCTGAGTAGCGTTCCACGGAGGGCGTGTACCACAGTTTATTCTTTTTTGTTTTGCTTTTTTAAACTACGGTGAACCACTTAACTATACTTTACATACTAAGGGATATCTGGATTGCTCCCAGTTTTTGACCTGCTGTAAACATTTGTGTATTGGTTTTTGTGTGAACACGTTTTCATTTCTCTAAATGCCATTGTTCAGTTGCATGGTAATTGTACGTTTAGTTTTATAAGAAACTTCGGGCCGTGTGGTCGCCATTCTTCGTGAAGCTTCAGTTTCATCATCTGTAAAATGGGATGCCGGTAGTACCGCATTACAGGGTTTGATGAGGAATGAATGAGTCCATCCATGCAAGGTGTGTAGAAGGTGGGTGAGACAGTTGAAGTGTTGGGTGAGAAAGATGAGCATTGGGCCAGAGTTTGGGTTTTTGGGTGTGATAATCAGAGTGAAATTTGGAGTATGACAGCTCGGAGGAGATTTTGGAGACTTAATTACCTCTGTGAGTTCAGGTGCAGGTTACTTTTCTCTCTGACCTCAGTCTCCTCACTAGTAACCTGGGATAATGTGGGGATTTTCAGCACGGGCTTAGCACCCAGCAGTTGGACAGTAGTTAGTAGCTATTATTATTAGTTACTAAATAACTTACAGTTTTAGACAAATGCTTAGTGAGGGGTGGAGGTGGGTTATTTAGCTCTAGGGTCTAGGTCCCTAGACCTAGAGGTCAGCTTGGGGAGTGCTAAACTTGACCAAGACACCTGATCTCTCTAGCTTCGGTGTCTCTCTTTGTAGAATGAGGCCACTGGACTAAAGACTGTGTAAGCCTTTTCAGGTGTTACGGGTCTGTGAAGCAGGTATTCCGTGTGTCCTGTCCCCATCTTCATGCCCCCAGTGCATACCCGCGAGGTCCCTGTCTCACCCCTGAGAACACAGGGACTTTCATTTGACTTTTCTTTCCTTTTTCACCCTGTCTGGGGCTGCAGCATCCCTATTGGCCCTTCCCAAAGACTGTAAGAGTATATACATGCCCCGCGTGCATGGGTTTGTTCAAGAATTTATTAAGCACTTAGCCATCGACTTAAAGGCTGTTGATTCAGACAGGCAGGTCTGAGAGTGAGGGGCCCACAGTGGGTGAGTCCCTGCTTGCACCAAGTGTGGGACTGCTGTCACATGGATGGGGAGACTGGTAACAGATAAGTGACAGCCAGCTTGGGGGAAAAAAGAGACCCCAAGCTCTTTGGCATTGAGCAGGTGGCTGTTCAGGTACACAGGGGATGCAGAGAAACGCTAGGGGCTGATACCTGAGCTGTGTCTGTAGGAATGAGAGGTCAGAAAAAATATCGATAATCAATCAAAAACATGTAGTTTTTTTTTTTTTTTTCCAGTTTAGAAGAGAAGAAAAAGAATTGTTTTTTCTCATTTTTGGTTATTGCTTTCTGGTAATTGGATTTCTTGCCTAATCCAAACAGTCTGCTCAGGTGTCTTCTCTTTGAAGGGTCTCTCATAATGAAGCCTGTTCAGGGAAGAAATGAGTTTTACCCTTTCTCTCCCACAGCCCCCCATTTTAATTTTATTTTATTTTTTTGCATTTTTATTTCTTATTTTTTTAAGACTGAGAGAGCACGTGCATGAGTGGGGTAGGGGTGGAGGGGCAGAGGGAGAGAGGGAATCCCACGCAGTCTCCTGCCTGACATGAGGTTTAATCTCATGACCCCGATATCACGACCTGAGCTGAAATAAAAGATGGACGCTTAATGCACGGAGCCACCCACGTGCCCCAGCTCCATTTTTTTTTAAAGGTTTTTTAAAAAATAAACTTTATTTTTTAGATCAATTTTGGATTTTGATTTCTCTAAATCATATCCCAGTTTCCTCTATAATTAACCTCTTGTATGACTAAGGTACATTTATCACAATTAGTGAACCAATATCAGTACATTGTATGTATCAGTGTTAACTAAAATCCATATTTAAGTCAGATTTCCCAAGTTTTTAACCTAATGTTCTTTCTGCTCCAGGATCACTCCCAGAATAGCACACTACATTTAGTCCTCATGCTTCCTTGGGCTTCTCTTGGCTGTGATGGTTTCTCTGAGTGTCCCTGTGTTTGATCACCTTGACAGTTTTGAGGAGACATGGTCACATATTTTGTAGAATGTCCCTCATTTGGAATGTCTTCCTTTTTTTTTTTTTAACTTGAGAATTTTGGAAGTATAATATTTATGCATCCTGTGTCCAACATAGCTCAAAGGAAAGCGTCTTCATATATTTGGGAAAAAAATATTGGTTTATAACCTCTAGCAGAATTTTCCTGGGGAACCATGGTTCTCAGCTGGAGTCAGGGATGGGGGGCGGCATTTGGCAATGTCAGGAGACCTGTTTGATTGCCACAGCTGGGGCCCAGGGGGTGCTGCTGACTTCTAACGTGTGGAGGTCCAGATGCTGCTAGATAGTCTGTAATGCACAGAACAGTCTGTAATGAACATTCGCAACAAAGAATAATCCAGCCCCAAATGTCAGTAATGCCAAGTTTGGGAAACCTTGTCCTAAAATGGGGAATTCTAAGCAATCATGTGTGATGATAATATAAAGGAATGGAGATTGTTGTGTTGGTCTGTCATTGCTCGTTATGCTGCACCTTGTGCCCGTCTTCTTTGAACTTAATCCTTGGTCTGCCGTGTGTGTTCATCAGATAGCCTGCTCTGTTAGGTGCACAATGGAAGCATTGCCCCTTGCCTGGGCGGGGGGTGGGGGTGG